GCGTCGTGGGACCACACGTGGGTGCCACCGCCGTTTCCGCCCCGGCAATAGGTCCGGCTCGATTGTCCGGATCAATCGCTGGTCCAGCTCACGTATCGGGCGCCGTGGCTGGTCCAGCTGTCGTGACCGCGTCAGTCGCTGGTCCTGCGCACGTGGAAGGCTACGGTGGCTACGATGGTGCTTATGGTGGAGGTGATTATGTCGGTGAGTAATAATTAAATTGATTTTACAGGATTATACTTTTGAAATAAAATAAATCTCTGTGATAGATCGATAGTAGAAAAATTTCTCTAACTGAAAGATATAAAAATTTCGAACGCCTATATAAGATGTAGCAATATCTTAAAGTTGAAGAATAAGTTTTAAGATTTATAAAAATGTACAAAGTATAAATAATTTTTGCAGAGATATATAAGAAAAAGTATTTTTGCAACAATATATATCATTATATTATTTTATACGTAAAATAAAAAACACGATTAAAAAACACGGTTTAAAAAACACGATTTCTACAAATTTCTAAAATTTGTTTTACCCGTTTATAAATATATGTCTTGAAATATGAAACAGAAAATTTACTTTAAAATGATTCCATGCCGTGGCTCGTTTTACCATTTATTTTATTCTATTATCCGCAGGAGGTTACGGAGGATACGCAGCTGGTCCTGCTTACGGTTACGCAGGATATGCCGGTGGTCACGGAGGACATGGAGTGGTTGTAGCCGGACCAGCTAGCCACGGCGCGGTTCTAGCCGGACCGGCCAGCCACGGAACGGTTCTAGCCGGACCAGCCAGCCACGGAGCAGTTGTAGCTGGACCGGCCAGCCACGGCGCGGTTCTAGCCGGACCTCATTCCGGAAGCGCGGCTGTTTCTGGTCCGCACGCTGGTTCGGTGGTGATTGCTGGCCCTTCCGGTAAGATCACGACTCACGGAAGTGGTTACGGTGCCGCTATCCATGCCGGACTCGGCCATGGCCACGGCCACTGGTAAACGCGCGTACAAACGCGTCTCTGTGAAACGCAAAAAGAAAAAAAAACGGAAAAAAGAACCGCCATTCCGAATCTCATATCGCCCCGCCAAAAATAGAATATCGTCCCCTCGGCGTCTTTTTTAAGGAAGCTTACAAGACAGTAAATTATAGATATTTAAAGTTGCTATGTATAACACGACGACGCTTGTTGCGCTTGATACTATTTCACGGTACGCTCATGGATACTTATGTCTTCTGTGTGTATGGATGGAATAAATTTGCTTTCTTCTTTGAAAGGAGGCATTTGTAATATAAAATACGCAAAATATTATTTATTTTAACCCGCATCAATTCTGATCTCTGATCTCTGCCCATCGAATTCACGAATCTTATTGTATTATATCGTTTTTTTTTATTACGTGTTCTTAAATCTCAGAACTTATAAGCGCAGTTATTTATGATGAAAACGATAAAATTGACATATAAGATTATAGAGGTATTCGGTACACAGTATTGCTTTAGTAAAGTCTTCCAAAATTCCCCTGGACAAAGTCGAACAGAAGCCTTGCGTGTTCAGTCAGCTTGTCTTACGCAAATCGTCGTGGCAACAATTTATTAACCCCGACCCGATCTTTATCGGCAAAGCTCAAATTATCCATGATGAAAGCAACCATCAATCACATCCGATGGAATAAAGTCTTGAATAATTGTTTACTACTTAAGCAAACCATTACTATACAAATTTTACGGATGAAAGTATGTACGGTAGCGTATTGCAAGCTAATTTTATACACGAAACATATACACACATATTCATACTTCAATAAAAAGGTTAAATATAGCTTATAAATTATATTATAAAATCACGCGCATTTTAATATTTAATATTCATTTTTAATTTATTTATTTGAATTGGATTTTATCTTAAAATTTTATCTTGAGTCTGCTTTAACAATGAAAATATAATATATAATTTACCGAAAAACTCTAATATCTGTAAAATCTAACTTTTGATGACCTTCCCTTGCAATTTACGTTACTATTCCGTCAAGCGGTTCATTAAATCCGGAGAACTCATCTTACTATCTTTCCTGCACTTGCTTCGTTATTCTCGAGTACATCTCGTCGTTATGTTTCAGCGTAAAAATTGTAGCGCGAAATGTGCGAAACAATCATTCATGCTTCGCTTGACTGGTCAGCACAAGTTCATTTCACACATATTCGACGTAGATCGATCATTATCGACGGCACGATTCGCTCGATAATAGATAACTCGCGTTGTTCGTCGAGCACGCTTGCTAAACGCAAGGAGCCGCAATCCGGCAGACTAACATAGATCCAGTCTTAATGCAACGCATAACGGGTCGTTGTGGTAAAGGGTACATCATGAGCGTGACTCGAAACGGATATCACACTCGGCGCAATCCGTCACTTGCAAGGTAACAATAAGCATGATAAGTCACGGTCGGAGAGAAAAATAGATAGTAGGAAAATTATGTCTCTAAATCATCAGCGTGTAAATTTAATGTTTTGTGGACACAATTCTTGAAATTACAAATCTAATCAAATATCTATTTAATAGTGTAAAATCAAATTAATTTCCGTTATCGCGCATTAAAATTATAGTTAATATATTAGTACAAATTACAGCAGCGTATCTAAATACATATATTAATTACAATAATGTTAATTACAATAATGTAATCTTGGATCATTAATTTAATGCTCGTAATTATTAGTACACAATATACAATATTTGTCTTTGCGATATATGATACGCGTGATAAATTTTTTTGTATCAATTAGAATAATATACATTTAAAATTATAATTTATCGGAATAAAATGTATGTATAATTTCTCGATCCGATCATAAATTTTTGTAGAAACAAGGCCCGATAACGAATTACGGGGATGAGAATCGAATATCAAAAAAATACCTCCGATATAAATTTGAGCGTCGGCGAGCAACTAGCGAGTAATTTATATAGGATTTGCGCAAAGTTGAATATAAAACGCGATTTACGATATCTATTACGCGTGCGTGCGTAGTTTATCACGCGACTCCCTCGCAATTGCCGGACCGACGCGCACGGATGTTTAATCTCGGATCTCCATGTATCCGTTTTTGCGTTCTCTTTCTTTTGAACAACAAATCACTATTGGAAAATGAGATATGTCAGGCCGTACTTTATTCTTGCGACGTGCACTCTCGAGCGATTCGTTAAGTGCGGCCTTAGCCCTATGGGAAAATCGTGGCCCGAGCTGCATCTTGGCCGAGATATCAGCGGCGGCTACGTAATCTCGCGGCGTTTCATCATCGCGATGGTGCATGGAATTGCATTGTGAGAATGCACCGAACCCCCACAAATTCCGAAAGGTCACCCGCTTGCAATCGGCCGCCCATCGTTGTGAATAAGAAACGGATCTAGCAACTGGTTACGCCAGGAGGGCTGCGTTCGCGTTTTCACGATGAATGCGTGGATACGCGCATCCAAACGCGGATGTTAATTGCTATGCGTCGATAATAGTGGGCGATAATCGATCGCAAATTAGAGCGGGCATCCGCTCACGCAGGCGGTAAGTTGACGTGCGATTATAATCGTGGGAAAATTCTGTTCCACTTTGCACTCTTAAGTTTCCAAGATTCGCTTAGCAATATCATGCAGTAGATATTATTGAAGAATTATAAGAAATAATATATCATCGAACGATCATACAAACATGAAAGAATTAATTAATACTGTTAATGATTGAAACTTCTTCAAATTTGAAAAAACACGTTTAAAACTATAGGAAAATATAATAATTATAATATAGAATAGACCTTCGAGTTTCAGAAATCACAATTTTTTGCATATTGTATAAAGATATATTCAAGTACTGGAAAGAGTAGATTTTTTCTTCCCACAAGATATAAAAGAAACTTTTAATTTTAATTTTTAATTTTGACGCTTCAACCAATATTGCAAGAGATATCTCGATTTTTCGTATGACATTTTGCAAAAATCTAACATGTATATCTATTACCGGGCAATCATATAAACATGAAAAAATTAATTAATGCTGCTAATGATTAAAACTCTTTAAAAAATAAAAAATTACGGATAAAACTCTAGGAAAATTATAATAAAATAGACTTCTGTTTCTCAGGAATCAATTTGTATGTCGTATCACGTATCAAAATATTTTTAAGTCCCGAGGGGTATGAAAAAATTTGGAGCCCATTTTTCTCTATTCTCTCAATTACTGCCCTTTTTGCTTCCATTTTATTCAAAAATGTTAATATAATAAATATATAAAAATTACGGTATCTCTTTTAGTCTGACTCTTCTCCTTCGACCTGTCCGGCATGGGTGACCCTACCGATAACTATTAGCGTTTTCGAGTGAAGCAAGTTTGATCGCTTTGAGAGAGGTTAAACTCAATTTACCATGAATAAATGTTTGACAAAAATAGGTTTCAAGAGAATCTGAGTAATATAAATATATAATATATTAAAGATATAACTAATATAAAGTACATCTCCCGTTTTTGTCGCTATTTTGGCTTCAAAGCATAAGATTCTTTGCCCTGATTAATCGTCAAATGCTTACTCGCATTATTTTATTGATTAATCAAATAATTCAAGTACTCTTAATAACCAAGACGGAATATGACATTATTAATCGGTCTCAGAATGATCAAACTTGCTTTATTCGAAAACGTTATATGTTACCGCCGGCATAGCTCTTAGGTTCATTAGAGTACTCAAACCTCCTCACCCGGCAAATGCCTTCGTTAAGGTGGAGATACCAT